CACTGCGGTAGTAATTTCAGCTTACTGTATGTAATAATTGAATTAAATGCATATCACACAAGAGTTTTGATTTAACAGAAATAGAGTATTTGAGCTATGAAATATATCTTCTGTCACTTTCTCCATGCTATTATACTTAATAAAACCACAGATAATGAACATGAGTTTACTGACGTGTAGGTTTCACAAGGTTTCATAATACGGAGGTGAACTGTGTGACATGTTTTTTCAAGGAAAGTGAATATAGGCTCAGCCATTTACTTCCATATATGAAATGATTCAATACACACCTTGTTCTTATACATACTAAGAATTGCTATTCTGCATCTTTCCTGCTAAATGGTGCACCAAGTGACATTTTGAAATGGAATACAAAATTAAAAATTAATTAAAGGACAAGAAACTGACAAAAAGTATCATCATGTATATTAGGAAAATACCTTTTATTAATTGGGTTTATGTCAGGAAAGTTATGTTGTGGTTATGTATTTTGACATTTTTGTCAGTATCAGTCGAAATAAATTGGGTCAGCATAAATTAAACAAGCTTTCATAGGAGATCCTAGCAACAATCTGCAGTCGAATATAGGTATCTTATTTCTTCACACCTGATAGGCATTAGAAATAGAACAGTTGACAACAATCACACAGAATAATACTTAAAGAAGATCCACTCATTGTGAACTTGACCAGATAGGGGATTCACCCATTGTTTAGCTGCTTTATTAATCAATGAGGACATGTATAACGAGCACAGAAAAATAAGTTTGATAATACCTAAAATTCTAATAAACACTAATGTACAACGTGAACAAGTCAGCTACTCAATACATTTTACTGGATGTTATAAAATATAACAAATAAATACTTGACATATGCGAGCCTTTCATCCACTGTAAACATTCACAGATCATTCTCAAAACTAGTTGATCATCTATTTCATCTAACATTTTATCGGGCTGTACCTTTTCTTATTTTCTTAGCCTGAACAATGGGAAAACAATATTTTCATTCAATGTTTTGATGAGCCTAAACTCTCTTATTCCTCAAGCCTCCTGGATGGTTGCCACCTGATCTCCAGTCTCGTCAGGAAGTGATCCAATGATTCCAAAATCGGTTACTCTGAACTAATGGTCAGGAATAGGAAATATACTAAGTGACATATAAATCCGAACACCCAGTTCAAATGGTTTTATTTTAATAAAATTTTGTATAAGTACTTAATGAAGCATAATAAGTAAATGATAAAAATTTGAAAATGATTGCAGTGCCTTAAAGCCCTTTGACCTTTAATAATGTGTGGATGCACCCTGATGTGCTACGCATTCTCCAACGCGCCTAGGCATGCTTCTGATCAGGTGTTCAATGTCCTCCTGTGGTATCTCATTCCAGGCAACCACCAACTCCTCTCGAAGTGTTTCTACAGTCTGAGGAGGACGTTGCAAATTGAGCAATCTCCTACCCATCATATCCCACACGTGCTCAATTAGGGATAAGTCGGGAGATCTTGGTGGCCATGGTAACAATGTGACATCATTATGTTGAAAGAAGTCTATTGTGACTCTTGCAACATGTGGTCGGGTATTATCTTGTTTGAAAGTTGGATCTGCCAGGGTGTCAAGATAGGGTAAAAGATGGGGTTCTAGAACTTCGTGGATATAACGCTGCGCGTTCATGTTACCTCTGATGAAGATTAAAGGTGACCTGGAACTATAAGCTATAGCACCCCAAACCATAACCGTTGTCCGCACCACTCAAGGCGATTACGTCGGTGTTCTCGAGTTAAAGTGTGGCCGGTATGAAAACAAGCCAAAATTTCTCATTCGTCGGTAAACACTTCGCATGCCAATAGGTCTTCCGTGTTTTGCAAACCATTCATTTACAATGGACCTGGTAGTGGAGAAACGGTCCCTTAAGGCCAATAATCTTAGGCGGCGATCTTCACGGTCTGTTGTTCTACGGCGACGTCCAGTCCAGTCCAGTGCCACTTGCTCTTTGCGTACGGCCTTCTCGAAGCCATGCCTGACAACACATAACCACAGTGTCTACACTTCTTTGCACTCTAACTGCAATTGCCCGAAAAGAAAGTCCAGCTTCCCGAAGTCCCACTATACGGCCCCTATCAAACTCACTAAGTTGACGAAATCGTACAGGTCTCCGTACTCTAGGCATCGTAACCGATCGTAAAGGATGTCAAGAACCAAAATCCGCCAAAGTTGATTCTTTACTGCGGCTGAAATATTCATTTTTAGAGCGTTAGTGAATTAAAAAAAAGCAGTATAAAAACCGGAATGTCCAACTGTTAAGGCTGAAAATTTTTTCACTTGTTACTTACAGTAAGATAAATACATTCACCAACTTTTTTTAAAATAAAACCATTTAAACTGGGTGTTCGGATTTATATGTCACTTAGTATAGATTTTGGTTATCCCTTAACAACCTACGGCATGCACGAGTGCTCCGATGATCATTCTCTTCCTGTAGTTTACGAACTATTCGGTAAGAGATGAAATCGGAGGCTATTATGTTGAAACAAACCGACTATTCAACGAAAACGAGACAGAAACACTACTGTTTGTCAATGAACCGTCTCTACAAATTAGGTCAGTCTCAGTCATAATTTCGACCGTTTGGCGAATGACGAAATTTTCTTTAATCGCTTTATTATTGCAGCTAGATATGGAAAGGAAAAAAAGCAGAAGCGTTCTAGACTGATAGGGAAAACCGAAAGCGCCTTAAAAAACTGGAGAGATTTTATAAAAAACAAACAGGTTCGACATCGCGTTCACGCGCTGAGCGCATGCCCGGCGACCGATTGCGTCACCGCCCCTCAGTGTCCACATTTTTTCTCTCTCCAGCACCATCGACGTTACCGTCCCGTCGGCGGGCGGATGAGTCTCTCTGGTAGGGTTGGCGTTCTCGCTCGGTTTTCTCCTGGATAACGACGTGGAACTACTAGAGGATATATTGGGCATTTTTGGAGACGACTGAAGTGAGAAACACACCGATAACCTCAAAGTGCACTCAGCGCTAGCCGCTTGATGGTCCAAAATCATCTCACAGGGACTGTCAAACATAGAGTATAACTCCATAGCCCAAAACCCGGAGCGGGTATTTCAGTACTGGGAAAAGGCAATACCTTGCATTCTGTCATGCACAGAATCCAGGCCTAGCATTTATAAAGATGCTGTCCTACTCAGTCGATCAGATTCACAGCGCATTTTATCTAGTCTGTTCCATGATTCGACGCTGGCACGACGTATGTTTACATTCCCCTAGATGAACCAATATACTAAGGAATTGCTAGAAAATCGTTCCCAATGAACCTGTTGTTTGGATTAGATCTCAGCGATCTTGTTAAGGCAGCAAGGTTGATACGGTCGACAAGCAAGGAGACTAAGTCATCCAAGTCTGTATCCTCACATCAGAGATCTGCTGTGCCTATGAGATATAATCGATCAGGAAACAGTGGGGAGGGCAAGGATGAGTGTCTCCTAACACCTGCCTGTAAACCGGAATCGCCCTGCTCGTAGTCCAAGATCGCCAGGGCTTCAGAAGGGCAGACTTCTCGAGAATCAAATCTAATGGACGGATACAGGAGGAGGAACTAAATAAGGTAAGATTAATGCTAATAATCATTTTTCAGGTAGACTTGCACAGTTTTATGAGAAATGGACTACCATAACCCAAAATAGAACTATTCTACAGTGGATTAAGGGTTATAGAATCTCGATAAGGAAATACCCAGATCCCCTTTCTCTCTTGCAGAAAAGCACCTAATAAATGCCGAAATAGTGAGCCTACGGCTAAAGGGAGCGATTGTGACATGTCTCCCACATGGTGGCCAATTCCTATCCACAATCGTTTTAACTGACGAGGCCAACGGCCAGAAGCGCTTTATTATGAACTTAAATAAAATAAAAAACTCAACAAATTTGTTGAGCCCCCCCATTTTAAGATGGAGGACACATACAGTGTTGAGGTTAATTTAAAATAACCATTATCGATTGATTTAAAAGATATATATTTTCTTATATCCGTAGCATCGGAACTTCGCAAGTATTTGCGTTTTACATTTAAGGGCCACTTATTTGAGTTCACCTGTATTCCCTTCGGTCTTAGCTCTGCTGCCTATACATTTACTGAAATTTTTAAGCCAGTAGCACAGAAACTCCGATCCATGGGCATTTTATGTGTAAGTCACTGAATTCTTAATCCTCGGCGAAACAGCCAAAAATTGTATGCAGAACACCAAAAGCGCAGCGAACTTATTGGAATCTCTCGGGTTTGTTATCAATCAGGACAAAAGTTCCCTCCTGCCTTCAAAAACCTGCAAATTTTTGAGCTTCATGTTTAACACTAAAACAAAGAAGCTCGAGGTAACTTGCAAAAAGAAACAAAAAATCTTGAGGTCGATACATTTCTTTTTTAGGTAAACAGATATTCAGGATTCGTGAATTTGCCAGTTCGTAGACCTTTTATTCTCAGCATGTCCCGCCATAAAATAGGGATGGCTATATACAATATCTTTCGAAAGGGATAAACTAATTGCTCTTAGAAAACAGCTTCGATTACAATGCGAATATATTGCTTTCGACATAATCACAAGCTGATCTATCATGGTGGCTGAATAATATAGATTCAGCAAACAACGACATTAAGCAGTATTCATTTGAGCTGGAACTATTGTCAGACTCATCCCTTCCGGACTGGGGTGCCTGTTGTAACGGGGAGACTACGCATGGCTGTTGGATAAAATTCGAGAAAGATAATCATATCAACTTTTTGAAGTTGCAAGCGACATTCTTAGCTCTAGAATGTTTCGCCACGGTTTGGATAAGATGCGGTAATACCTTGCAGTTGCCTATGTCATCCACATGGGGAGCGTAAAGCACGTGAAATTTAATGATCTGATGAAGCTACTAGGTGTTAGACTCGGGGCATATGGATATATGCCTCCTATATCACTACAAAACATATCTGAATGGCTGACAAGGAATCCAGATAACTGCAGTCGGAAACAATTGTGATGAATCTTCAAACTAGAAATACATTCTTGATGCGCCACTGGTACTACCGTGTAGCCAAGGGACAAGGAATGCGGGCGGTGGTGTCGGACGAGAGAGGGCGGGGAAAGGAGAACGCGGAAGAAGATAAGAGCGTGGTTTTTACGACCGATGTGCGAGGTATTTTGGGCAGAATATTTTGGAGAGGAGAATAGAGTACATTATTATTGATCCCGGGCGTTTCATTCTTGACAAATCAGAAGTGGAATTATTCACGTGCCGTACAAGTTCTACAAGTGAGTCAAAATGGGGAAGACGAAAAGGCGTAGTTCTTCTAGTTCATCCTCTAGCTCTCAGTCCAGTTCAAGTTCTTCGACGGACGATGGAAGGAGACATCGTAGGCGAGTAAAACGTTTACGAAAAGAACTCAAATTCAAAAACAAGTTGTTAGAGAAGCAACCTGTAAGTACTGCATACAGTAGTTTAAATATCGATGAATCGCTAATACCGGAGTTTAACCCCTCAAATAGACAATGTATAGACTGGGTCAACAAGGTTGATCAGTTGCGTGAGTTATACCAGTGAGATGACCAATTGACAATTAAATTAGCAACAAGCAGACTTCGTGGAAATGTTCGGAAACGGTATGATTCGTTAAACAATCACTGTACTCGATGGTGTAATATGATGTGATGCTTTTAGAAATATTCCCTTCGACTAGGAACTTCGGAAAATTGTTTAAAGAGACAGCAAATTATGGGCATTTACCTAATCAAAAATTCAGTGAATATTGTTTTGAAAAACATGCAAAAATGACAAAATTAAATTTGCATCTTAATGATGTAGATATTATAGATTGTATAACTGAAGGGATAAACAATGAAAATATAAAGCTAGCAGCTAGAGCTGCGAATTTTCAATCAGTAGGTACGTTGGCTAACTATTTAGATAGTAATATAGATATAAATAGGCAAAAACATATTGCTGCTAAACCGACTCCAGGCACGTCAAAAGTTAATCAAGAGGTGATAAAATTGGAAGGAAAGTATGGCAGTAAACGCAGAGTACTATCGTGTTATAATTGCAAAGGTCCACATATTGTAAAAACTTGTTCTAAGCCTATAATAACGTGTAAAAATTGTAAAAAGGTTGGTCATTATTCAGAGCAGTGTAGACTAAGCAAGAAAAATGAATGTAATCAGATTACGAAGTCTGTAATTATGAACAGAAAGAATAATATGTCTTTAGTTACCGCTTATATAAACCAAAGTCCAGTTGAAAATTGTTTAATTGACACAGGTAGTTCTTGCACAATAATTAAAGAGTCTTTAGCAAAACGTTTAAAGATGCAGCTAACTAGAACAAATGAGCGTGTAGGACTACGATGTTTTATGGGTAATATGATATCTTGCGACGCAATAAGCAAAATCAATGTAAATATCGACAAATCAACCGGCGAAGTAAATGCGTTCGTTTTGGCGGATAAATACTTAACTTATGATGTGATTATTGGTTGCGATTATTTAAATCAGCCACATGTGTCATGTATAAAGCCGGCGACACCTTGTGTTTTAAAAATGTTTCTACCGTGAGCGATATACAGGGTACTATGAAAATAATTGAGTATGATAAAATAAATTTTGGTAATATTTCTCAGGGAGAAAAGGACAACGTTTATAGTCTTTTAAAAGAGTATAGCGACACGATCGCATTTACTTTAAAGGATTTAGGAAAAACCAATTTAGTACAAATGAGTATTAAATGTAAAACGAAGGAACCAGTCATTTATAACCCTTATCGCATGTCAATTCAAGAAAAAAGTAGTTTAAATGATTTGTTGCAAGAGTTACTCATTAATGGTATCGTACGTGAATCTAGCTCTCAGTATGCTAGTCCAGTAGTACTTGTTAAAAAGAAAACAGCTGCATCGGCAGGCGTTGCTGAAAACAAATGGGATACGTTTGTCAAACCGCTGCAATATGCGATGAACACAACTTTTAATGCTGCAATTGGAATGACTGCAATGGAGTTATTGGCTGGATTCAAGGGACATAGGCTATCCGAAGGCAATGTTTTGAGTGCAGTGAAACGAGAGCTAGAGCGGGGTGACTTGAAGGCACTTAGGAAATCTGGTGAACACAGATTGTCTGTAGAGCAGAAAAAGCAGCAAGAGAGGTTTGACCAGACTAGGATACAAGCTAAAAAGTATCTAGTGGATGATGTCGTCATGGTGTTGAAGACGGATGCACCGTGTACTGGTGCCAGCAGAAAATTGGTGCCGAAATATAAGGGACCTTTTAAAGTGACGAAGGTTCTCTATAACGATCGATACGAGGTGGTTGACCTGAGAGAAAACTACAAGAGATATAAGACTGTAGTTGCTGCAGATAAGATGAAACCATGGATCTTACTACGTGGTAGGTATAAAATGTTATATTGCTTAAAGAGGGTCCAAATATTAAAGTTTATCTGCTTTAATATCTGTTGGAACAAGGAGAAAAATTAATGATGTTTTGTTGTCTGTTGAGATAAGTAGGCTCAAACAATAAAAGCAGTTTATGATGTTTTGGTTGTTGAGATGAGTAGGCTCAAACAATAAAAGCAGTTTATGATGTTTTGGTTGTCTATTGAGATAAGTAGGCCCAAACAATAAAAGCAGTTTATGATGTTTTGGTAGTCTGTTGAGATAAGTAGGCTCAAACAATAAAAGCAGTTTATGATGTTTTGGTTGTCTGTTGAGATAAGTAGGCTCAAACAATAAAAGCAGTTTATGATGTTTTGGTTGTCTGTTGAGATAAGTAGGCTCAAACAATAAAAGCAGTTTATGATGTTTTGGTTGTCTGTTGAGATGAGTAGGCTCAAACAATAAAAGCAGTTTATGATGTTTTGGTTGTCTGTTGAGATATGTAGGCTTAAACAATAAAAGCAGTTTATGATGTATTGGTTGTCTGTTGAGATGAGTAGGCTCAAAAAATAAAAGCAGTTTTATGATGTTTTGTTGTCTGTTGAGAAAAGTAGGCTCAAATAATAAAACGGTTTTATGATATTTTGTTGTCTGTTGAGATAAGTAGGCTCAAACAATAAAAGCAGTTTATGATGTTTTGGTTGTCTGTTGAGATGAGTAGGCTCAAACAATAAAAGCAGTTTTATGATGTTTTGTTGTCTGTTGAGATAAGTAGGCTCAAACAATAAAACAGTTTTATGATATTTTGTTGTCTGTTGAGATATAGTAGGCTCAAACAATAGAGTGGCTTCGTGATGTCTTGTTGTCTGTTAAGATAGAGTAAGCTCAAACAACAACATAATTTGATGAAGGAAGGCTCATACAACAGAATTACTTAGGGACGTTTTGTTGTCCGTTAAATTAATATAATTAGAGTTTTAATTATATTTTGTTATAAATTAATAAAAGAGAGTATAAATTGTAAGTCAAAATGCTAATCAAGAATAAATTGAAAAACAGCTAAAGTTAGGCTCAAGTGAAAGCTCAAACATAACAGTGTAAAATTAATACGTTTCAGTGTCTGTTGGGATGGTTGATTAATTCGAATAACCATTCAAAGTTCAGCACGCCTAAGCCTTACTGCAATGCAACTTAGCATCAACATCATAAATTAGATTGATTGTTTATTTATAGATGCTGATTTTTCTGGGTCTGAGGACAGACACAGCAGCAGGATGGCCGAATGTGATGAATCTTCAAACTAGAAATACATTTTTGATGCGCCACTGGTACTACCGTGTAGCCAAGGGACAAGGAATGCGGGCGGTGGTGTCGGACGAGAGAGGGCGGGGAAAGGAGAACGCGGAAGAAGATAAGAGCGTGGTTTTTACGACCGATGTGCGAGGTATTTTGAGCAGAATATTTTGGAGAGGAGAATAGAGTACATTATTATTGATCCCGGGCGTTTCATTCTTGACACAATCATAAATGTTAAAGATATAACTAATGACTGAAGGATCCTGGAACATCTACATGTGAGGCCTTTACTCTTTTCTGGAAAAGCATGAACTTCTATGCGTTCCCACCGGTTGCCGTAAGTTTGAGAGTGATACAATAAATAATAAGTGACAACGCCACCCCAAGCATGGCATCCACTTTTCATTAGGTTTTGCAAAGGAGAACTTCGTTTCTTTGAGCCGCATCGTGGAATATTGATTTGTCCTTTCAGCAACGACAGACATCCTTTAGCGGAGAACCTTACTCTGGTAGCGGCCAGACTATTGAGCGAGCCTTAAGGATGCAGGGTGTTCCTGAGTGTGCAGTTGAAACTACACTGCAATCCTTGTCCGAAGCTAACATAAAACAATACGCAGTCACTTATAAGTTTTGGTGGGACTTTTGCATAGCTCAGGATATTTTGCCATTCAATGCCCAGCTTAGTGAGGCGATCACCTTTTTGCAACGCATTCTTGATAAGAATGAATGTCGTCTTCTTGGCTCCTTCAACTCTCACATATCTGCGCTATCAATGATCTTGTCAGACAGCTCAGCTCGGGGGATCATCCCATATTGAAACGATTCATGAAGGGCATATATCGGATAAGATAACAGCAGCCAAGATATATTTTTTTCTGGGACCCCAAACGAATCTTGGACTTCTTGGAAGCTTATCAGACAACATCCCTGAAACTATATCCAATAAAACTTGTAAGCTTATTATTGTTAGCAACGGGACAGAGGTTGCAGACCATATCGAAAATTAAAATTTGCAATATACGAGATACTGAAGACGGTGTTCAAATCCTAATAGATGACAGAATCAAAACATCGGGGCCCAGATCGAAACAACCTTGCTTGATACTTCCAAGATTCAATGACAAGCCTCAGTTATGCGTAGCCAAGTGTCTGCTATCCTACCTTACAGAAACTGCTGCATTAAGGAATTCAAACGACGAGTATTTGTTAATCACAACCCAAAAACCTTACAGAATCGCATGCAAACAAACTTTGAGTCGCTGGGTGAGAAAGACTCTTAACATGGCAGGTATGGACACTAGCATGTTCAAGTCGCATTCAATTCGGCAAGCGACAACTTTCTCCATGAGCAGAGCCTGGATTCCGTCGGATGTTCTCAGAGATTCAGCGGGCTGGAGTAAGAATTTGAAACCTTTGCAAAATTTTATAAGCGGCCTCTAATGTATAGAGACCAGTTTGCACTAAAGGTTTTGAATGTATAGAAATAATCATTTATTTCCTTTTATATTATATCCTGTATAGCTTACTGTTTTATTGAATATACTATCATTATCTATCTCATTTATCAGAGTAAGTACTTTATCGCAAGAACTCAAAAGCATCCCCTTCCGTTTGTGTCATAAGCCACACATCTTTAAACATCTACGTGGTGAAATAATAAACATCTTTGGACTGGACGCCGAAGTATAATTTAACGATCAAATAAACTTACCTTAAGGAAGTTCGATCGAAATTATATGAGGCGTCCAGTCAAAGATGTAAGCTCCCTCCCAGGCCCTACCCTGATGGGTTATGAACAAACGGAATAATTTCAACTAAATGATTGTAGGAGGGAAGTATAGCTGTATGTACAGGGACATGAGCGTAACATGAGAGGGGGATTTTGCTTTAAACCCTTGTAGCTGCTAGCACGATAGGGCGGACTACATGGTGAAATAATAAACATCTTTGGACTGGACGCCTCATATAATTTCGATCGAACTTCCTTAAGGTAAGTTCATTTGATCGTGAAATTATTTATCAGCTTGCTGGTGTGATTGTTTGCCCAAAAATGCAGATAGCTCAAAAACGGTTAGGTGTAGGTTATAGGATGATTACATCCAATGTATTTATAATCTTGCGGATAATCCAAAAATGGAATGATAACCCATTTAAAATAAGCAAGTTGGTATCTACTCCACCTACAACCCAATTTCACCAAAACCCTCACATTTTCGAAGTTGTCTAATGCCTACAAATAAAACAATCGATTACTGTTCCCGTGAGACACACTGTATAAAGTTACGCAGACCACAGATGAGAATCAAAATAGTTTTGAAAACCCTACAACAAATCGAGGCACCATAAATTGATACATTTGAATAGTCTGATGCATACAAAGCAGTCTTGTGGATGCGTGCCTTTAGACGGAAACGGCATGCGTTAGAAATAAATATACTTTTTTACATTCAGAACTTTTTGAGGTAATTGAGAAATGTCTTCCAATGTGTACTCGATATATATGTAACTAGTTCTATTAAAAATAATAAACTCACTGTTCGATCCAAAGAGGATTTTCCGTGGTATTGAGATCATCGATAATTGCTTTCTTAATAAGCGCGTCCTTCTTCTTGAGATCAGTCGGTGAGATGACCCAGTGCCTAAGACAGCAACAGATGACTATGAACGTCACCACACCCACAAACAGCACAATGAGCAGTGCAATGAGGACAACAAGGGCCGCATCGAAGCTTTCAGCCCTTTCAGTAACAAAGGCAGGCAGAACGTTCTCGATTGCGAAGCCGGCGTAATAGTCCTTCAGAAAGTCATACTTGGAGTCAATGGTTTTCAGGACTTTCGGCACTGGCAGGATGATTTGGGTTTTGGGGTTCACGACCAAGATGTACAGGTCAGACCTGGAAATCATTACAAATTGTAATGCATAACATGTAACACGACACAAAGACAGAATGCTAGACTTAAAAAAATTGGTCCTAGGTCTATTGTTCTTTATAATGTATATAAACGATATCTTCCAATGTTTCAACCAACTACAAGACCTAATGATTATTGTTGAAAAAATGACGAAATACTGAAACATGCTGTCCAGTCGCTATCACGAAGGAAATAAACTTATTCCATGATAAATAAGGTGTACGGATAAGAGTGAGTTCTAGACATTGTGCTTATTTAAATATTCCGTTCTGAAAAATTAATATTGAGCTCGCCATCCATTGATACGAATGCAAAGAAATTTAAACAATCATGGACATTTGCTGAAATTTTCGTTCATGAATTGCTAAAGTTCAAATAATTGAAAAATATTCGTTCCCATTTCTTATTCATTACATAATCAATTTGATTCGATGTTTGTGAAGATTAGGATATCACGGTTGACATTGAAAATGGGTTGAAGTCATAGTCTAATCATATTAGCAAATTTCCCAGAAATGATTGTAAAGTTTGGTTATATTAATGCAAGCTGTTCAAGAGGACGGATAAAATGCGTTGTTGCTGTTGAAGATTTATACAGCATTATTGCTACAATGTCAATTTTGTCTAATGATTCGGTTACATATTTTTCTTCAATCCATTATCTGTAATTTTACATTCTTGTCTATTAAAATTAAAATTACGTCACTATGTATTTTCATTATTCATAAAGTGATTTTTTAATTTCACCTTAAACATTTTTAAATTCGAACTCTGTTTAATATCATTATTCAATTTATTAAATTAGTTATGCTACTATTACAATTTTGCTGATGAAAATCTATACTGTGTCTAGTTTCGTAGTTATGATAAATGATTTTTTAATTTGAATATAAAAACGAGAATTAAATAATACATGAAATTTTTCACATTCAACCACTGCAGTTCTTCTAACATAGACTTAATCCTAGCATATTTGTTTTTATTTAAAATGATTCTCATAGCTTTATTTTGTAGAGTTTGTAATTTTGAAAATATGTTTTCATTTGCTTTAAACAATATGGTTGAACAATATAAAAAATGGGGAAGACTTATAGTGTTATACACAATTTTTTTGGAATACATACTAAGATTATAAGAAACTCTATAGAAGTAATTTATCTTTTTCGATATTTTTGAAATAATGTATTCATAATATTTGTGAAACAGTGGCTTACTATCCACATATATACCAAGATATTTAAATGACTCGACTACTTCAATTTTTGCATCATTAATCATGAGCCTAATTGTATTGCCACCTAAATGTTTCCCTATTGACATACATTTTGTTTTATTAGTATTTAATTTAAGTTTATTGACATTTAACCAATTCATAATTTTTAACAGTTCTAAAGCAGTGTCCAAATGCTTATGTGCTATATATATATACAGGGTGACTTCGAAGTTGAGTCATTTATTTTAACAGTGAGTAGATCTGATCAAAAGAAATGTTTTTTTCCTTTACCATTTTTCTGGTAAAATTAAAGTAACAAAGTTATAGCCCTTTGGAAGTTTGAGTACCGCCCTGTCTCAATAATAATATCATGTGCTCGTGTTTGGCAACAACGGATATAATCCGCCTTATCGGTTCATCGCATCGGAAACAAAAAAGCGAAAGAATTTGGAACAATGTTTTTACAATTATTTTATTCAGTTCAGTTATACATACAGTCAGTGTCAGTCGGTAACGCGTGTGAATAGTGTCTGTTGCGTGGCTCAAACGAAATAAAAAATGGCACATGTTTATGCGGATCGGTTTCCCAATCGAGTGCAACAAACCCCTCGTGCCTTTGTTAATGTAGTACAACGGGCTCGTGAATCAGGTGACTTAAGACCTCACAGGGGACCTCACGATCAAATACAGGTCCGCACTGAAATACTTGTCGGGAGGATACTTTATAAAACAAGGTAACATTTTTTTTTATTTTTTTTTTATTTTTACATTTTTGGTTTATCTTCCTTCTACAATCATTATCTGAAAATTAATGACTCAACTTCAAAGTCACCCTGTATATATATATATATATATTTATATATATATATATATATATATATATATCTGAGTATCGTCCGCAAATATTTGAATTTTACAGTGTTCTAAAATGTCAGAGATATCATTTATATAAATAATAAATAGTAACGGCCCTAATTTACTCCCTTGTGGCACCCCCACTGATATATTTTGAACACTTGACATAATATTTCCAACTTTAGTTTTTTTACTTCAATTTACTAAATAATTTTGTA